CGAATACAAATACGATATCGGTGGAAAAATTGGCGAAAATTTCAATCATGCAATAGGCGACAGTGCATTATGGTGGTGAAAAAACTAAGAGTTTTCGGCCCATAATCCCGGCCTCTTTTTATGAGTAGCTTCGCGCAAACAACTCATAACTCTTGAATAGTGTTCCCTCTTGACAATTTGGTCAGTCGGCAGGATTTTGATGTGCACCACATCTCTATAAACGAAGAAAACTATCAATATAAACTTGATTTTTAACCAGCTTTGACATGGTTTTTACGGCTACTGCACACATTTGCCGTGATATTCGATCGATTGATCGTCTTTTTCTGAGTCGTAAGCATAGATCCACTCATCGCCAGTATTAGTATGTTTAATAAGATTCTGATAGTCGAAAAGCATTCTCTCACAGACGCTAATCCGACGCTGTTTTTCGAAAAAAAAAATTAGTGATTTTGGAACCAATTGTTCATTCTCTTTTCTTAGGCCCAAATGAAATGCTTTTCACTGATCCTTCCGATATTCCAACGATGCCAGTCAAATCTCTGACTGTTAATCGTCGACTATCAGGCATCATTTCCTTTAGTTTACTGATGTCTTGATCATCAGACCTCGTTCATCGTCAACGCGTTCTCGGCCATCTTTGCATAATTTTTACCAATCAAAAACACTTGCTCGCGACAAACAATTATCACCGAAGGCCTTTTCCAATATTCTGAATGTTTCGGCACTAGAAATTTGATTCCGTAATCAAAATTTAATGGAACTTCTTTGTTAAATAATTTCCCTCATCCTAAAAATCGCTGAATGCACTTTATGTACTTCAGAAAGATGAGCGTAGCAACAATGATTATTTTGATGGGACATTTGGCGCAGATGTCACTGACAGTCATACCAAACTAGAAAACAAAATATTTCGACGAATGGGTTGTCGCGTGAAATTTAAAGCCAAGACCAAGACCAAGAAAACCAAGACTTGAAAATAAATTTCAATTATTTGAAACACTTGAAAACACATATACTCTGACAACACAATGACTCTGACTTCTGACTAAAGTACTTTTTTATACATATATTTATTATCTATAATTACTAAAACTTTCTCAAACAAAAAACACTTGATTTAAGTGCTTGCCCCCCTGTATTGTGCCAACACAGAACATACGTTTGAATGTGTTTTTTCTTTCTGTTTTATGTACTTTGCGCAAGTTTACTAATAAAATTTGGTTTTTGACGTAGAAGAAATACAACAACAAACAGTTTTCTGCGTGGAGAAAACAAAATTTTGTGGCAAATGGGTGTGAGTGTGGGTGAGAGGGTGTGTATGCTGAACGCATACATAACTTAAAGCGATTGTTTACACATATGTATGCAGGAATATTATATATATACATATATATATAATAATAATTATGTAGGCATGTTTAAAAGTATTTGTTTTGCATTTCACTCTTTCTGCTCTTCGCTAAAGTGTTTGCCTCTTCATAATCAAATGTACTTAATATACTATATAGTGGCCACCTGTATTGTATATAAATAGACCGCAGAGATCTGTACCGAAGCCAAGAGTTAATAAATACGAGTAAATATAATATATTATATATTGTAAAATATTAACAGTCTTATGGCAAAAAGGGGGCGTGTAAATTCTGAATTTCTTATTCTCACGTATTCTATTATTTCTTATAATCAATTTGTTTTATTTTTATTTATTTTTTATAATATTTTCTTTTATTATTATTTTTTATTCAATAATTTTTCGATTTCTTTATAAATTTTGTTTCCGATATTTATTTGTTTTTTTTTTATATACTTTTATTTTATAATTTTTTACTTCTCTTTATTTAATTTTCCATTTTTATACTCTCGCAACAAAGTTTTATAGTTTTGTTCACATAACGGTTGTTTGTAGGTCCTAAAACTAAAAGAGTCAGATATAGGGTTATATATACCAAAGTGATCAGGGTGACGAGTAGAGTTGAAATCCGGATGTCTGTCTGTCCGTCCGTCCGGCCGTGCAAGCTGTAACTTGAGTAAAAATTGAGATATCATGATGAAACTTGGTACATTTATTTCCTTGCTCCATAAGAAGGTTATGTTCGAAGATGGGCAAAATCGGCCCACTTCCACGCCCACAAAATGGCGGAAACCGAAAACCTATTAAATAGGGATTAAAATGAAATTTGGCACAAAGGATCGCATTAGGGAGGGGCATATTTGGACGTAATTTTTTTTGGAAAAGTGGGCGTGGCCCCGCCCCCTACTAACTTTTTTGTACATATCTCGAAAACTACTACAGCTATGTCAACTAAACTCTACAGAGTTGTTTCATTCAGGCATTTCCATATACAGTTCAAAAATGGAAGAAATCGGATAATAACCACGCAAACCTCCCATACAAAGGTTATGTTGAAAATCACTAAAAGTGCGTTAACTGACTAACAAAAAACGTCAGAAACACTAAATTTTACGGAAGAAATATCAGAAAGAAGTTGCACCCAGGCTTTCTTTAAAAATTGAAAATGTGCGTGGCGTCGCCCACTTATGGACCAAACATCATATCTCAGGAACTACTCGACTGATTTCAATGAAATAATATTTTCTTAACACCCTGATGACATGTACGATATATGGTTGAAATCGGTTCACAACCACGCCTTCTTCCAATGTAACGCTATTTTGAATTCCATCTGATGCCTTCTCTGTATAATGTATATATATTAGGAACCAATGATGATAGCGGAATAAAACTTTACACAAATACGGTATTTGATGCGAGAGTATAAAATGTTCGGTGACACCCAAGCTTTGCCCTTCCTTACTTGTAGTTATTTATATTATTTATTTTTATCTTCTTTTTATTTAATTGGCTCAAGCACTGACACTATTTAAATTATTTTTTATTTATTTTATTAATTAACAAATTAATTAATATTATATTTTTTGCAAAATCTGGTCTTAAGGTACATGTGTTTTATGACTAAAGTGCCTCACTTGATATCAGAGACATGTTTATAATGATGACTTGACAGTTTCTATAATTTGTTAGCACGGAATTTTTACAAACAAACAAGCGGTGTGAGTAAAGAGACAAGTAATGATTACAGTATATATACATACATACATATGTATATACATATATACATATATATTACAGAGCTGCAAGTAATATTTAATAAAGCTGCATGGTCAGAAATGTTTACATACATATGTATACATACAAACAATTAACTATGATTAAATATATTAGCTTTGATGGAAAATCGTTGTTTTATTATATACATACAATGTTAGAGCACAATTTGTAATAATCAAACTACTTGCATTTTATTCTTCTTCTTCTTCTGTGACATAGACACCGCTTTCGCGGTTGTAGTCGAGTTAACGACAGCGCGCCAGTCGTCTCTTCTTTTCGCAATTTGACTCCAATTCGAGGTGCGAAGAGTAGCCAGGTGCTTCTCCATCTGATCACTCCAACGGAGTGGAGGTCTTCCTATCGTTTTTGCAAAAGATTCAAGTTTTTTGGTAAACGTTTTATGCCCAATACATTAAAACAAAAGTTGACTCGATTCATGAATGTTCTGTAATAATCCCTTCTTGAAATTAATTTTATGAAATTTTGATTACTGAGTCGCATATCCTACTGCTGATGGGTTTCTCTTTCCTCACATATCCGTAAGGCTTATGTGGGTCGAATTTACTGGAGAAGAAGCGCAGGAAACTTTTTTACATATCGGTTGAAGCTAGTAGGGACCTTTTCTGTAAGCAGCTCTACGTCAAGTCTAGTTTTAGACTACCATATTACTGCGGTATCTTTTAGGCAGAAGTGGCTATTATTAAGGCAGTAGATTTGTTGCTTCGAAATGGAGTCGCTTTCAGGGTAGTGAGCATTCCTCACTATCTATACAATCACGCTATTTCATTATCAGAGTAGTTCGGTTGATTGGCTAGTGCGAAATCCTCCTCACATTTAAATCGGAGTTGGTACAAGTTGTATCCCCGTTGTCCTTCTTCGTTCTAACATTGGGCTTATGGACCTAGCGTGAGCATAGCGTTCGTAGGAGTTCTTACTGGACATGGTCCAATTTATATCCATGCTATTAGGATGCAAATTTTGAATTAAGGACGATGATTTTGAAAAATTCACTTTTAAATTACTCAGTTTTTGCAAAAAGTTTTAGAAACATCTCGGCAGTCATACTTTCAGCGAAACAGAAAAGATGGCCTTATAACCTAACCTAATTTAACCCCACACATACTTTTGCAAAATAAGTTTGACAACTCCCCTCCATCGACTTGAAGGTAATGCGAAGACTATTGTCGAAGCACGACAAGCCATTGCGTGAACAATTTAGTACTCAACATCTGTCCGGTATTAAGAGGCGCTACTTCAAACGTTGCTCTTTTGCAATACCTGGTCCTTTTGACGATTCAATAAAATAGCGCTTCAAGAAATCTTAAGCTGTTTGCAAAACTTCCAATCTCACACAAATACCTTTCGAAGTATGAGGCAGGCTCTGTCTGAGATCATCTACCTTTCCGTTTTTGTATATCTTTTTAATAGTTTATAAAGAAAATGATTCAAACTAATTCTTTTCCGAACGGATTATTTTATTCTGTCTATAACTATATTCCTCCGGTTTTGTTTCCCAAATTTGAGCATGTAACTGATTAATGAAGACATGGCCAAAGTATTATTAAAAGTATTGTCCATCTGAAGCCATAACATATTTCCCTCTTTCTGACAATTTTCTATTTCTCTTCAAAAGTACTGCATCGGCTTGGCAGCCGAGAATGATTCAAGCCAATTTTTGATACCCTGTTCTGATATGAACTGGATATTCCAGACGCATTATGCTTCGACCGGAACAAATGGTAGTCAGGAGAATTAAAATTTGAGCTATGAGTTTACTTAGTTGAAATTATTATAAGTAAATGGTTTTATTGTAATAAATTCGGCTTAATTGTATATTAATTTTTTTTTCGTTATATTTTATTTTCAGATGCCGAGGGACATATGATGCATGGCATTGAGCCGGCGTTCTCGGCGCTCAGCAGCACCTCCGCACACAGTCCAAGCGGCAGTCAGGCACTGAGTCCAGCGCTCAGTCTAAGCGGTGGTAATAGCAATAGCAATGGCAATTTATCTACTAGTGGCAATAATACTATAAGCAATAACAACAACTCATATGCGCAAAACAATAACACACAATCGGCAACAGTTTGTGCAATATGTGGCGATCGCGCCACCGGCAAACATTACGGTGCTTCCAGTTGTGACGGCTGCAAAGGGTTCTTCCGACGCAGTGTGCGCAAGAATCATCAATATACCTGCAGGTAAGATAACGCCAAAAGTCAAAGTCATTTATATTTTATGCAATATTTTGCCACCCATCACATACATAGATTCTCCCGCAACTGCGTTGTGGACAAAGACAAACGCAATCAGTGTCGTTATTGCCGCTTACGTAAGTGTTTTAAGGCGGGCATGAAGAAGGAGGCAGTGCAAAATGAACGCGATCGTATTAGTTGTCGTCGCACCTCAAACGAAGATCCCGATCCCGGTAATGGCTTGTCCGTTATATCACTGGTTAAGGCCGAGATTGAGAGTCGTCAATCGAAAGCGGGCGCTGCCATGGAGACCAATCCGAATGAAGATCTATCGAACAAACAATTCGCGAGCATCAACGATGTGTGTGAGTCAATGAAACAACAGCTATTGACGCTGGTCGAGTGGGCCAAACACATACCAGCCTTTAATGATCTGCAGCTGGACGATCAGGTGGCGTTACTTCGCGCGCATGCTGGCGAACATCTGTTGTTGGGATTGTCGCGGCGCTCTATGCATCTGAAAGATGTGTTGCTGTTGGGCAACAACTGTGTTATCACGAAACATTGTCCCGGTAAGTAATGTAATTTGGTTTAAGTATCGTGTGAGTAAATTTGTTGTATCGTGCAGATGCGCGTCTGTCGCCGAACTTGGATATTTCGCGCATTGGCGCTAGAATCATAGATGAGCTCGTTTTTGCGCTACGCGATGTGAATATTGACGATACCGAATTGGCATGCATCAAGGCGCTGGTGTTCTTCGATCCAAGTAAGTTGTAGTAAATTCGGGAGATATTTTTAAGGGGTTAATCGTGGTTAGAGGCATAAAAACATTACAATTTTAATGGGTTACATACAGTTAGAAGGCCGGAAAAAGCGAACTTCCAGTTTTTTTCCGGAAAAAACTTTTTTTGATCTAAAAATTATTATGTCATCTTTTAACCGAATTTTAAGAAATATTATTAGAAAAAATAGCTACAGCTGAACTCCGGTAGGTCCTCTCAAAGAAGACGTTTTGCGGTGACCAATATATCTCTGAACTAAGTCCTCTAAAATTCAAAAAAAA